TAGTGTTCCGCCGAATGAGTCTATGTCACTGCCTGGCTCAATTGTACATGATGAGATCCGTGAGAATGCTGATTTATCTGTTCCTCAATCTACTTCTAACCAGTCTAGTGGTTCTAGTCCTGTCGTGTCTATGCGCAGTTCTTCTCGTTCTGTAAAGGCTCCTGTCTGCCTTGATCTGTAGTTCGTCTTATCAGATTATTTGCTGCCACGACACAGTCTATGTATTTCTGTTATTCTGGTCGTTTCCATCTGATGGTGGAGGGATGTGATATCTGAGCCAGCGTTGTACAAACGCGTCATAAGTTGTTATCTTATTACTTACGTTGCCTGCATGCATATGCGCATGCCCGTTGTTTTGTTGTCTTGTCTTGCTCTGAACGAGTGATATACAAGTCTTGAGTTTTCCCTATCTGACAAGTGTGTCTTGGTCTTGTGTAGTGCCTGGGTTGCATGTAACACAAACGTGAGTGAAAAGTGCTCGTGGCTCAAACGTGAGTGAAAAGTGTTCATGGGTCAAACGTGAGTGAAAAGTGTTCATGGGTCAAACGTGAGTGAAAAGTGTTCATGGGTCAAACGTGAGTGAAAAGTGCTCATGGGTCAAACGTGAGTGAATAGAGCTCATGGGTCAAACGTGAGTGAAAAGTGTTCATGGGTCAAACGTGAGTGAAAAGTGGTCATGGGTCAAACGTGAGTGAAAAGTGTTCATGGGTCAAACATGAGTGAAAAGTGTTCATGGGTCAAACGTGAGTGAAAAGTGTTCATGGGTCAATTGTGAGTGAAAAGTGTTCATGGGTCAAACGTGAGTGAAAAGTGTTCATGGGTCAAACGTGAGATGTTTATTTCTCGTTGGCTGAGCGAAGCGAAAGAAACAAGAAATCTAGTTCTCTGTTAATATTTTTTGCACGTGCGTGCGGAACGGGTACGAGGGCAGTGTGCTGTGGTTGAAAGTGCTGTTGCTGTGATTCTGCAGATCATTGTTTTTCTTCTTGCCAAGTGTGCAGCTGCCCACCCACCCACCCACCCTGGTCAACTGTCTTCTTAGTGTGCGCTGCCGTTATCCGCTGTAGTGTGTGCTGCAGACTGTAGTCGTGTGACTCATGATGCTCTGGTCTATATGCCTATAACTCTTCGCTTGGCGAGTTTTTTGTACTTCAAAAACGAAGTAGTAAAGCATGGTTCCTGAAGCCTAGCAAATGCTGAAGCTGCCGTTGCCTTAGTTTTCTGCCTTAATCTTATGGATTGCTGACAATAAGTTCGGGCTACAGCGCTGGCTTTCTTCCAAGGCGCATAGCGCCATTATCTAGCTATGGCAAGAAGTCTTGTGCAGCAGGACTGCATTCACCGCATGTTCAAATGGCTGCTGTGTGTGATAGAGCTGGGTGTGCATGCTGATGCCCGTGCAAACAAATTTGGAGCAGAGAATGAAAAGTGTTCATGGGTCAAACGTGAGTGAAAAGTGTTCATGGGTCAAACGTGAGTGAAAAGTGTTCATGGGTCAAACGTGAGTGAAAAGTGTTCATGGGTCAAACGTGAGTGAAAAGTGGTCATGGGTCAAACGTGAGTGAAAAGTGTTCATGGGTCAAACGTGAGTGAAAAGTGTTCATGGGTCAAATGTGAGTGAAAAGTGTTCATGGGTCAAACGTGAGTGAAAAGTGTTCATGGGTCAAACGTGAGTGAAAAGTGTTCATGGGTCAAACGTGAGTGAAAAGTGTTCATGGGTCAAACGTGAGTGAAAAGTGTTCATGGGTCAAACGTGAGTGAAAAGTGTTCATGGGTCAAACGTGAGTGAAAAGTGGTCATGGGTCAAACGTGAGTGAAAAGTGTTCATGGGTCAAACGTGAGTGAAAAGTGTTCATGGGTCAAACGTGAGTGAAAAGTGTTCATGGGTCAAACGTGAGTGAAAAGTGTTCATGGGTCAAACGTGAGTGAAAAGTGTTCATGGGTCAAACGTGAGTGAAAAGTGTTCATGGGTCAAACGTGAGTGAAAAGTGTTCATGGGTCAAACGTGAGTGAAAAGTGTTCATGGGTCAAACGTGAGTGAAAAGTGTTCATGGGTCAAACGTGAGTGAAAAGTGTTCATGGGTCAAACGTGAGTGAAAAGTGTTCATGGGTCAAACGTGAGTGAAAAGTGTTCATGGGTCAAACGTGAGTGAAAAGTGTTCATGGGTCAAACGTGAGTGAAAAGTGTTCATGGGTCAAACGTGAGTGAAAAGTGTTCATGGGTCAAACGTGAGTGAAAAGTGTTCATGGGTCAAACGTGAGTGAAAAGTGTTCATGGGTCAAACATGAGTGAAAAGTGTTCATGGGTCAAACGTGAGTGAAAAGTGTTCATGGGTCAAACGTGAGTGAAAAGTGTTCATTGGTCAAACGTGAGTGAAAAGTGTTCATGGGTCAAACGTGAGTGAAAAGTGTTCATGGGTCAAACGTGAGTGAAAAGTGTTCATGGGTCAAACGTGAGTGAAAAGTGTTCATGGGTCAAACGTGAGTGAAAAGTGTTCATGGGTCAAACGTGAGTGAAAAGTGTTCATGGGTCAAACGTGAGTGAAAAGTGTTCATGGGTCAAACCTGAGTGCATAAGTGCAAGAAACATACATGTAAATAATCGACGTGGATAGCTATTATAAAACATACATGTGTAACGAAAAAACGGGGAACAAGTCATGAACGACATGTGAGTCGAAAACAGATACTGGTCTGTGTAGAGACTATGCTGCACTGACGAGTCCATGAAAGGACGAAACAGTTCTGCGCCGGTGAAGATTGAGTATTTCGCTTCTGCTCTTGTAGAGTTGAGCACTCTCATTTGGGGTAGTGCCTTTGCTGTTTGCGTCACGCAGAGCTCACTGGCTTGTCAGTTTGATCATGTTTGGCCTCATTTTCTCTTTGCGCTTGCGTCGGGTCCCCAAAGGACGAAACAGTTCTGTCCGCAGATTGAATACTGGCATGTGTAGGCAAATGGGAAACACATCGTGAAAGGAGAAGAGAAGTGCACCAAAAGACCGGCAGAGATTAGTATGAGCCAGAAACAGATGCATGTGTGGTTTGTAGGCAAATGCCGGTACATGCCAGGCTGGTACATGTAGTGGCGGGTTTCCTTCAGCTCGGGAGTCGTGTTTTTATGACTCTCTCGTTTTTCCCAGGATCACTGAGTTCTGCTGGCGCATGTGAATGCAACATGAGACGTGTCACCCGAAAATCGCTAGTAAAAAGTTGACTGTGTTACTGTAGTATGAATCCAATACACTTTCGGGTGCTGGGTGTATAGGCAATGGTGTAGTGACAAATGAAAACGAATACACTCATCATGCTGATCTCAAAGTTACCCGTTCATCCGTCTGCCGGGAACCCTGTGGGTGAGAGTTATACTTGTAGTGGAAATATTACTACTTTTCACTAAGTTTTGTGGAAGCAGTGACTCTCATCACGGTGTCCGAGATTGTTGGTCCTTTCCCGTTGAAATGTAAATGTATGTGATTCAGAGATGCAGACAATTCAGAGTTATGGGGCAAGCACGCTGTCTGGACCATGAGATATGAGCGCAGAGCACTTTAGCAACGTGCACTAGCATTTTTAGGGTGCATTCGAGTGTGGAAACTGGATCCTGATCCCCACCAACCAGATCACTTCGATCGGACAGATACAATCGAATGTGCACAATTGATAACCTGTTTCAAGACCTTAGCAACCGCATTGCAACAGCTCATCCCGTAGTATCTGTACGCATTAAGGTGAACTCTTGACCTAGTGTACGCATATTTGGAGTTTTGATTGCTGTAAGGGCGCATTCTTATTCTGTCTAGCTTCTTGGAGAAAGCTCTCCTGGAAATCGGAAGAAACTGGGATAATTTAGGAACTGGTCTCGACGAATTCGGAGATCTATTGCACATGTAAAGCTCCAAAGGGGCATTGATCTCGAGTGCCACGAATGTAGTACGCACTGTGCATATGCGAAAACGGATTATCATACACTCATGATCAACAGTAGATCGCATGCGCTGACCCCAAAGCGTGGGAATCGCCAAGTTTTAACCACCTCTGAAGTTCTGAGAGCTTGGAGAGCTTGGAGAGCTTGGAGAGCTTTGGAGAGCTTGGAGAGCTTGGAGAGCTTTGAGAGCTTGGAGAGCTTGGAGAGCTTTGGAGAGCTTGGAGAGCTTTGAGAGCTTGGAGAGCTTGGAGAGCTTTGGAGAGCTTGGAGAGCTTTGAGAGCTTGGAGAGCTTGGAGAGCTTGGAGAGCTTGGAGAGCTTGGAGAGCTTGGAGAGCTTTGGAGAGCTTGGAGAGCTTGGAGAGCTTGGAGAGCTTGGAGAGCTTGGAGAGCTTGGAGAGTCTTCTAAAGAGAGGATATAAGAACTTTTCTCCAACTTACAAACTTCAGCCTCCAGGGCTAAAATCCGTTTCGGCCGCATCAAATTTTTCGGCCTCTACTGCTGCCGCCTGTATACACTGTCATACTGTGTATGTGTGTGTGTGTGTGTGTGTGTGTGTGTGTGTGTGTGTGTGTTTGTGTGTGTGTGTGCGCGCAATGTGTGTGTGTGTTAGCAAGCACCTGGAGTTGTATAATCATGATCATAGAACAATCTAAAAAATCTAGTACTTTGACGCCATCACACATGCATGTTGGTGCATGTCTACACACACTCAGTTTATTCAAGCACTCAGTCCATTGTGACCCACTTAACGTTAGTTCATTCACACACTCAGTTCATTCACACACTCAGTTCATTCACACACTCAGTTCATTTACACACTCAGTTCATTTACACACTCAGTTCATTCACACACTCAGTTCATTTACACACTCAGTTCATTCACACACTCAGTTCATTCACACACTCAGTTCATTTACACACTCAGTTCATTCACACACTCAGTTCATTCACACACTCAGTTCATTCACACACTCAGTTCATTTACACACTCAGTTCATTTACATACTCTGCACTACAGACCACCATCAGGTTGTTGAGTCCCGCCTTCTCTGTGCTGTTGAATTGTCCAACAGGAGTGGAGCTGACAGAGACGGGTCAGAGCTTTGAATACAGGCAGCCACACAGCTCGCACAAAGAAATCCAGGGACATGGAAGACGACCAAGACATGTACTGAGTTTGATTGCATTGGCAAAGTCAACAACAGGGTCACGGATATCGATCGGCAAAAATAACGCAATCTTGTCAGTGCGAGGGCATGATAAGTTGCGCCAGCGGGAGATGCAACAGCAGCAGTAATGCTGATGGCGGACTACAGCGGCCATGATAGGTCAATGCAGCAAGAGGAGAATCAGTCATAGTCATGCCAGGTTTGAAAACTGCATCAAGGCAGCAAAGCAGCAACAATAGTATTAGCACCAGCCTGTTACATCAGCAGCAGCAGCAGCTTCACCAGCAGCAGCAGCTTCACCAGCAGCAGCAGCAGCAATAGCAGCAGCAACAGCAGCAATAGCAACAGCAGCAGCAGCAGCAAAAGCAGCAGCAGCATTAGCAGCAGCAGCAGCAGCAGCAACAGTAAAGAGCTGCTGTGACGGCACAGGCGGTAGCCATAGAAGGACACAATGGCTTTGCCGGGATCCACACCGTGCAGCAAGAACAGAAACAGCAGCATAAGCGGGCCGAGCAGCAGCGACATAAGCACCAGTCGATCTGGGAGCAGCAGCAACAACAGCAACACGGAGCATCAACAAACTTAGTAGCAGCAGTGGGAGCATCACCACCACCCCACCGCAATCAGCCAACCAACAGGAGTATGAGAAGCAACATGCCAATGCGAGTGATATGTGGTTCGTTTATCCTCTGATACCAACACCACCATCAACACTGCTTATTAACTAAACCCTGCTGGGCTACAGGTCTTGCGGTTGCATGCAAGGATTTTTTGTTGGATGTCGTAGCCCAGGGCCATTGTTCTACATGCATTGCCACCATTGCTGCAGTGTTTGCACCATGCATCAAATGTTCACAACGCATATCCCTGTTCCATGCACAAGTCCGTTATGCCCAGTGAGACGTATTTGCTAGCATGGAAAACAGTGTAGTTTAGAAGTGAGTACTCTTCCCTGCTCATATCTCTGCGTGTACATACCGGTAGCGACAATGACCAGCTCACTCATTCTTGTATCTTTGTATCACAGCATTAATCTGCAAGAGGGGGTTGCCTTCGTTCATCCTTTCTTTCTCAGTCCGTACCCCGTACTGGAACCCCCGCTTCCATCTGCATCTTCGTTCAAGAGCTGTTTTCCCGGAGCATTTCCAGTGCTTTTGTCCATTCATAGGAGCAGTATTGTGATCCTGAGATTGCTCAATGGGCCCAAATGCGCTGTGAGTGCGCTGTGATTGGGTTGTGATTGTGCTGGGATTGTGCTGGGATTGTGCTGGGATTGTGCTGTGAGTGTGCTGGGATTGTGCTGTGAGTGTGCTGGGATTGTGCTGTGAGTACGCTGTGAGTGTGCTGTGAGTGCGCTGTGAGTGTGCTGTGAGTGCGCTGTGAGTGTGCTGTGAGTGTGCTGTGAGTACGCTGTGAGTGTGCTGTGAGTGTGCTGTGAGTGTGATGTGAGTACGCTGTGAGTGTGCTGCGAGTGTGCTGTGAGTACGCTGTGAGTGTGCTGTGAGTGTGCTACGAGTACGCTGTGAGTGTGCTGTGAGTGTGCTACGAGTACGCTGTGAGTGTGCTGTGAGTGTGCCTGTGAGTGTGCTACGAGTACGCTGTGAGTGTGCTGTGAGTGCACGCTACAAGTGCACGCTACGAGTGTGCTGAGTGCATGCACACTCACTATCATGCTGCAAGTCCTTTTCTCTATCCTCACGTCCACTTATTTCGAGTACCCCTCTCCTCTATACGATTTAGGATCATGGTGTGTATTCAGTTTGCACACTGTACATGTGTGGCCATGAGATTGATATACAATAAAGTGTAAACTCTGCTAGGCTTTCATGTGTTCTGTCAGCACTTCACGCTCTGATTAATATCTGTTGCCAAGGCAACCACCCGTGGCACTACTTGAGTCTCCTGTCTGTCCGGGTACAAGTACATTTTGTGTCTGTTGCTAGGACAACCGGTCAGCTCTTTTCGTGCCGTCTTTCCTGGCACTATATCCACTGGAGTAGGAAATCCTATAAGTCAAAAACAGGTTGTAGGCTGGTAGGGTGGGGATGGTGGACTTCCAGCTTCTGAATGAAACTCTTGGCAAAATTTTCAGAATTCTTTCAAAAAAGTTTCAACTTTTCCTTCTCCTACTCCCTTGTTTTCGTCTCCTTGCATCTGTGCCTACCCAGTACTAGCTGGCACCATACGCCATTCTTGTTCTCCCACTTATGCATGTATGCATGCCGATATTACTGTGTTCAGAGCCATGCACTCAGACACTGACATAGAAGAATCAAATCGCACCACAAGTCAAGTCAGACACTGACATGCATAGAAGAATCAAATCACACAAGTCCACTGTTCACGTACTGCATACCCAAGTACACATGCAGACACACTTAGCACAAACACACAATATCTGATTCATGCCCCCCCCCCCCCAAACATGCACAATCATACTGGCCATGCAATGTCCACTCAAAGCTCTTGGCCTGAAAGGCAAAAAAATCCACGACCTACAGACTCGAACCGTGAATGACACTGTTGTGAGACCGAACACTTACCACTGGTCCACTTCAACTTGTTGTTAGTTATGAGACAGAAACACAGATTTATCCTTGTCAATAAAGCATTATTTAAAAAAAAACACTATCCAGCATGATCCCATTGAAGTCAAATTAGTAGGGAGACACACATCAAAGCAGTAGGGAGACACACATCAAAGCAGTAGGGAGACACACACATCAAAGTGGCGATTCAAACGGGCAAGCATGCCCAATTGCAGGAAAGCGAATACCAGAGAGAGAGACACAAGGAAGAATAGAAAAAGAGCAATAGGTCTACAGCATAGAGAGCTCACTGGTTTCCAGGAAGTCAAAGTGAATAGTAGTGGTCAAGAGTATGGGGTGTGGCTGCCAGCTTCAACTGGGTTAGGCATTGGGCACCACTCACAACCTAACACGCCCACTCACCCACCTGCCCACTAATACGCCCACTCACACGCCAACTCGCATATGCCCAATAACACACACACTCAAATAAATAAGAGAGAGAGAGATAGATAGATAGAGAGAGAGATAGATAGATAGAGAGATAGAGAGAGAGAGAGAGAGAGAGAGAGAGAGAGAGAGAGAGAGAGAGAGAGAGAGAGAGAGAGAGAGAGAGAGAGAGAGCTTGTACGTCCACTAACACCCCCACTAGCACACTCAATAACACAGCCATTAACCCGCCAACCTCACACACGCACGCCCGCCCGCACGCACGCACGCACGCACGCACACACACACACACACATGTCCACTAAAACACCCACTAACACGCCAACTCGCACGTCCACTCATGCGCCCACTCAAATAGAACCATGGCAGAAGCTTGAGAAAATACTTCATAAGTTTCAACAACATGCAAGCTGGACATCACATGCATACAAATCAGCAACCGCTCGGTATTGCACTGAAGATTGAGTTTGATAACAGTGCACACAGAGAATGACCAGCAGCGACCACACACAGGGAATGACCAGCAGCGACCACACACAGGGAATGACCAGCAGCGACCACACACAGGGAATGACCAGCAGCGACCACACACAGGGAATGACCAGCAGCGACCACACACAGGGAATGACCAGCAGCGACCACACACAGGGAATGACCAGCAGCGACCACACACAGGGAATGACCAGCAGGGGAGCAGGCATCACAATAGGAAACATAACTCTGGTAGAAATACAGTGACATATACAGAGACTGTGGCAGGAAAACAACAGATCTGGGTTATAAATGAAGAAAAAAAGAGAGAATACCCAGTGAAGAGCGCATGACAAATTGGGAACATGTCGAAAATACCAACATGTATGTATACATTCAGGAATAAATAGATTTTTGGTTGGAGGAAAGCTAATCAGCACACCAAGCACAGAAGCCATTATAATTTCGACTAGGCCTTTCGAATAAATAAGCAACACAAGCAAAAGATGACCAAGCAAATAGTGACAGCAACAGACATGCAAATAGTGTGATGGGCAAAGCGTACATGCATTCAGCCAGGGATATAATTATGTGTATGTGTGTGTGCATGTATGTAGGTTGGCAGACATGCACGTGTGTGCATGCATGCATCCACGTGCCAATGTACTGGCATAGCGCCTGGGAACTATCTTCGCAGACAGTCTGAATTTGTATGAGATGCATTTGGAGCAGGCCAGCTGCTGTTTCAAGACACAGGGCAGTGTGTTAAGAGAACGCAACCCTGCTCCTTACGACTGCCAGGCAGCACCATAGTTTAATTAGGACAAGCGGCAAGAACCCTAGTGGCTCAATTAACCTCTGGAGAACAAAGGTTGATACATTGATAATCAGGTTATCAGGTTACACTGGTTAAACAATGTGAACATTCCACTCCTGCGCTCCAGTCGCAGAGTGATTTTTCCAACTTGACAAAAACAATTAAATTGCCTGCTAATTGCCATGTGTTGCACTTGCGTCCTAAAAGCAGATAGAACAAAACAATAAAGGTACAACATTCGGGCAACTGTTAAAGGCACACACTCTAAGATTGATTGTGGGAGAGGGAATGAGTTTTTGTGTGGGCGAGTGTGCCGGTGTTGCGTAGTCGGGACGGTTGGGATGGGTTTCTAGATGGGGCACCTTGGGTGTCCCCTAGTGGGGGTCAAGGGCCGGAGCCCCTTCCGGGGGTGGGCAGGACCAGAGCCTCCATAAAATATTTAGGGTATCTTCAAATTCCAAGCTCCTGAGAAGCGCAATCTGGGACTTTACCTTACTATTGTCAATGTGCCAGGTGGTTCATTCACATCTTAGAATTTCGTATTAAAATACGCAACATATTTAAAAAGAGAACTTTCACAATAACCCTAGTCAGTTGTCGGGCTAGTTGGTGCGGACGAAGCACTCGCCAAGATTCCCACCTCACTTTTATAAGTGCATGCGTGCATCATGCACCGCTCTGTTTCTTGGTATTTCCGGTGATTGCATATGCATGCACTGAGGAGAATTTTACTGTAGTTTTCACAAAGGCATCGGCGTCTGCGCTGCAACCCCGGAGGGGGTTTCCGGGCAACCTGGAAACACTGCCAGCTATGTGCCTGGTGTGTGTGTGTGTGTGTGTGTGTGTGTGTGTGTGTGTGTGTGTGTGTGTGTGGGTGTGTGTGTGTGTGTGTGTGTGTGTGTGTGTGTGTGTGTGTGTGAGAGAAATGTGTGTCCCATATGGTGCAGTGGTATGTGCAGCGATTTCCAATCGATAGATTGCGGGTTCGATTCCCGACGATTATGGTCACACACGTCTTTCTTCTCTTTCTCAGACTCTTCCTGACTTTTCTTTCATTCTCCTGGGTGGTTACCAACAGCCAGTGCATGCCGGAGTATGTGGTGTGATGTGTGTGCGGGGAAAAAAAAATGAAAAGACCAAAAATAGGGATTCACTGGCCAGAAAATGTCACTCCAAATAGCTGTATGGTGTAGACCAGGCTGAATAGTGACGGTCAATTCTTCAGCCTTGCAAGCTGTTGAATGGTGTAATCCCAGCACAAGTTGCTATGGCTTCTGCCGTAGCATTGCTATCATCGCCTCCGGCGATGGGCGTCAAAGGTCAGGTGAGAGAAAAAAAGAAGAAGAAAAAAGGAAAAGGAAAAATAGGGTTTCACTGACCAGAAAAGTCACTTCAATCAGCTATGTAGTGATACCAGGCTAAATTAGTGGCGGTCAATTCATCAGCCTTGCAAGCTGTTGAATGGTGCAATCCCAGCACAAGTTGCTATGTCTTACATAGCTGTTCGCTATCATCGCTTCCGCGATGGGCATGTCTGAGTCTGAGTCTGAGTGAGTGAGAGAGAGAGAGGGAGAAAGGGAGAGAGAGAGAGAGAGAGAGAGAGAGAGAGAGAGAGAGAGAGAGAATGTGCCATGTGTGTGTGTGTGTGTGTGTGTGTTTGTGTGTTTGTGTGTGCATGTGTATGTATGTATGTGTGTATATCTTCATAGCTGTGTGGTGTAGGTCAGGCTGAATAGTGGCGGTCCATTCTTGAGCCTTGCAAGGTGTTCAATGGTGCAAACCCAGCACAAGTTGCTATGGCTTCCAGGGATCGATTTATCCGGGTTCGCATCGCAGTTTGCAAATCAAAATTCACTGGCTGCGATTCGCTTTTCGTTTTTTATCGCCCAAAACTGCGATGCACTGGCCATGCAAACCGGTATGTACAAAGACCATTCTGTACTGTTTGTGTGCAGTTTGCATGCGACTGTTAGTCTGTTGTACACACTGCTGACTAGGGAGTGGTATTTTACTCCAACCAACTAGCCTGTCCTGCTCAGTCCGCGGGCGGGTCGCGGATCGCGCTCTGTTTGATTTTGGACACTGCACTAGCCACTGCTAGCACTGGTCGACCGGTCGTACAAGACTGCACAGTCTGCAGTCTTTTGAAGTTTTGTACACGGCGGCAACTTTCCCTGAAGTTCTCCTTTCTTCTTTCACTGTCAAGCTCAATTCAGTTTGTTTCTGTTCGACAAGACACAGTTGAAGTAGATGGTTCTTAGTCTCATGTAGCCAACATGTCAGTGAATCTGATCACTGTCCAGAAGCGGGAAAAAGAACTGGACGCGCCAGGAGTGTCGATTCGTTTCGATGAAGAAAAGGAGAAAAGCGAAAATTCTGTGCGCTTTTAACGAAGTGTCACGATCGTTTCAGCGCTTTCCTGAGCTTTCTTTGTAGAAAGAATCAGTGGAACTGCCCTGTTGAAGGACATTGTGTTGTGAAGAACTCGAAGTTGGATGGACGCTGAACATGTAACAAGCCCAAGCGAAAACCCTAACGTAAAATATTCCGGTCAACCGTTCGTTTGGAAAAGCAAATAGCAACTGCAGCTATTGTCCTCTTCTGTACGAAATCCTGCTATTGTACAAGCTATACATGTAAACTTTTGATGAAGGAAAACTGCTAATCAATACTGGGAGTTGCTAGTCAATTGTAAAACTGTTTAGCAGCGACTGCTATGCAAAAAAATCAAAGTAAATCGATCCCTTCTGCTGTAGCATCGCTATCATCGCCTCTGGCGATGGGCGTCAAATGGTCAAATGGTACGTGTGTGTGTAAGTGTGTGTGTATGTGTGTGTATGTGTGTGTGTGTGTATGTGTGAATGTGCGTGTGTATGTGTTCCCTGTAAAAAGGCGTCGCCGCCTGTTGGGAATTCCCTAGTAAAACAAGAATAAATAATGTGTACAAAAGCTTACCGGGTATAACCTAGCCTGATGAAGTACAAGGGATGTCATAGATTCCTTCAGCTGGAGAACCAACTTCAGATGCTGATGCAGGGCTCGGCTCATCGACCAAATCTGCACCTGCTGCATCTCGGATTTGCGCCGCGTTCTCTGGCTGGACAGGTCTGAGCACTTTCGGGCAAGTAGCATATGGAGCATCACTGAGTGAAGGGCTGTCACTCTGGTCTACAGAAGTAGCGGCGATGGCCCTGGTGGTGGTGGTGGTGGTGGCTGCTGCCCTGTTGAATGGTTTCTTCACAGCCGGACATCTGGTGTAGAGCCCGCCAGCGCCTTCGTCCACGTCAACGAAGGCTAGAGCTGCGCTTGGAGCCTTGCAATAGTTTGGCTCTACGTCCCACAGTGCTGCGTCTGCTGCTGCATCCTCGGCTGAGTGTGCTTGTGCTGCTAGACCAACACACAGTACACACAGGATAGGATAAGATCATGTGAGAAAAGTACTTCTCACACTCAAGCTTATCATACAACCGCAAGCACACGTACATGTACACGCACGCATACACACACACACCATTGGACCATTGGACGCCCATCGCCGGAGGCGATGATAGCGATGCTACAGCAGATGCCATAGCAGCTTGTGCTGGGATTGCACCATTCAACAGCTTGCAAGGCTGAAGAATTGACCACACACACACACACACACACACACGCGCACGCACGCACACGCACGCACGCACACGCACGCACACACACACACACACACACACACACACACACACACACACCTTTGACCTTTGATGCCCATCGGCGGAGGCGATGAAAGCTATGCTACAGCAGAAGCCATAGCGAACACACGCGAACACACACACACACACACTCAGACATGCCCATCGCGGAAGCAATGACAGGGAACAGCTATGTTGGACATAGCAATTTGTGCTGGGATCACATCATTCAACAGCTTACGAGGCTGAAGAATTGGCCACCACGAAATACTGTGCTAGCATTGGAACAATGTACCGGTAACTGCAATGTGATGACTAGAAACTCACCAAGGTTAGTGCTGAGTATTCCTATAGTTTGATACAGGTCATCTGAATGCGAAATCACAAAACACATACACACACACACACACACACACACACACACACACACACACACACACACGCACGCACGCACGCACACACGCACGCACCCCCCCCCCCCCCCACACACACACACACGCACACACACACACACTTAATTCACCTCATAGCAATGGCAGCAGATAAGATCTGAACGAAACGGATCAACACTTGCAACTGGTACTTTGAATTTGCATTTTGTATTGATGGATTATCCACAGACCATAGCCTTAATCAAGGGAGTCTCTGTCAACAGCTTTTGCAGGAGAATAAGCCGTAGAAATAATAATTAAATGCAAACTTCAGATAAATCCCTTCTCATCAGTCTTGGTTTCACTGAACCTCCAACAGCGCCGGTGGAAGCAGTGATTGATTGGTCTGGCCATACCCCAGCCTTTCATACTGTATGTATGATATGGCGGGTATACATGGCGGATACACGTGGCGGGTACACATGGCGGGTACACATGGCGGGTGCACGTGGCGGGTACACATGGCGGGTACACGTGGCGGGTGCACGTGGCGGGTACACGTGGCGGGTGCACGTGGTGGGTGCACGTGGCGGGTGCACGTGGCGGGTGCACGTGGCGGGTGCACGTGGCGGGTGCACGTGGCGGGTGCACGTGGCGGGTGCACGCGGCGGGTGCACGTGGCGGGTACACATGGCGGGTACACATGGCGACCTTCTCGTAGTAAACGTGGGATGCTGGCCAAAGAGTGAGTTGGTCGAACCTTTGCCTGGCCAAGCGCTCCGGCTCCACCGCCCCGTCACAGTAAAAAGAAATGGGCTTATTTTTCACTCTTTTGTTTCGAACTCAACATTGGCGCCCGATTATTGATCGACCCACGACCCTGAGATCATCCCATGCCCAGCCGTCCTCAACCGTCATTCGTCTCGTCTATGTCAACCTCGTCTCGTCCATGTCAGTCTCGTCTCTCCTACGCCAACCTCGTCTCTCCTACGCCAACCTCGTCTCGTCTATATCAACCTCGTGTCGTTCAAGCCATGCAGGTCAGCTACCTTTCTCTCTTTCTTTTTTTTGTATGCGTTCCTTCTTCGTCAAATTTATTTTCGTGAATTTTTTGTTAGTGTGTGTGTGCGCGCGGGTGTCCTTCATTAATATTAGGGGTCCGATCATGGTGAGCCACGCTCTCTTATTTATGTCGTATATTAAAGTGTAACTAGGCTCTATTAGCCGTGCAAAATACTAGTCATCAGAATACAATTCAAGTCCCTCGTCGAACTCCAATAGTTATTTTTTGTGCCATGTTTTGAAGGGGCGTTTGGGCCCGTTGTTATTGGCCTTGTACACACTATAGTATGAGTAGTACAGGAACGTTGACGGTTGTAATGATCTGTAGTGCATTTTTTTTAGTACACACTTTTGTGAGGCCCGTGCGTTGTGTGTGTGTGTGTGTGTTTTTTCTCCTTCAGTCGTTTTTTAAAATCTTTTTCTCTCTTTTTTTTCTCTCCGCGAGGACGCGGGATTTTTTCATGGAGGGGTATGTTAGGTACCACCTCCCGTACATTTTCTAGCTGGCCTGCATGCACTTGCGTACGCACCTTTTGTCTCCTTTTGCTCCGTTGGCCTGGGTAGCTACTTGCGCGCCCATATTTGCCATAGCTACCCAGGCCCTTTATCTTGCCGTTTAGACTTGATCTCGCTCTCTCTTTCCTCACTCTTCAATGTAGTCGTTTCGTTCGTCTTGGTCTCTTGTCTCGTCGTCTACTAGTATAATAAATGTCGTTCCCACTAACTTGTTCCCGTTGTAATGTCTGGATACGTTGTCAGTCGTCCTGTTTCGAACTCAACATTGCCAATGTTGAGTTCGAAACAGGACGACTGACGACATATCCAGACATTACAACGGGAACAGGTAGGTTGGGACGACATTTATTAGAGACGGGACAAGAGACCAAGACGAACGAAACGACTACATGATGATTATTGACGAGTGAGAAAAAAAGAGAGCGAGATCAAGTCTAAACGGCAAGATAAAGGGCCTGGGTAGCTATGGCAAATATGGGCGCGCAAGTAGCTACCCAGGCCAACGGAGCAAAAGGAGACAAAAGGTGCGTACGCAAGTGCATGCAGGCCAGCTAGAAAATGTACGGGAGGTGGTACCTAACATACCACCCCTCCATGAAAAAATCCCGCGTCCTCGCGGAGAGAAAAAAAAGAGAGAAAAAGATTTTAAAAAACGACTGAAGGAGAAAAAAACACACACACACACACACAACGCACGGGCCTCACAAAAGTGTGTACTAAAAAAAATGCACTACAGATCATTACAACCGTCAACGTTCCTGTACTACTCATACTATAGTGTGTACAAGGCCAATAACAACGGGCCCAAACGCCCCTTCAAAACATGGCACAAAAAATAACTATTGGAGTTCGACGAGGGACTTGAATTGTATTCTGATGACTAGTATTTTGCACGGCTAATAGAGCCTAGTTACACTTTAATATACGACATAAATAAGAGAGCGTGGCTCACCATGATCGGACCCCTAATATTAATGAAGGACACCCGCGCGCACACACACACTAACAAAAAATTCACGAAAATAAATTTGACGAAGAAGGAACGCATACAAAAAAAAGAAAGAGAGAAAGGTAGCTGACCTGCATGGCTTGAACGACACGAGGTTGATATAGATGAGACGAGGTTGGCGTAGGAGAGACGAGGTTGATAGAGACGAGACGAGGTTGGCGTAGGAGAGACGAGACTGACATGGACGAGACGAGGTTGACATAGACGAGACGAATGGTGGTTGAGGACGGCTGGGCATGGGATGATCTCAGGGTCGTGGGTCGATCAATAATCGGGCGCCAATGTTGAGTTCGAAACAGGACGACTGACAACGTATCCAGACATTACAACGGGAACAAGTTAGTGGGAACGACATTTATTATACTAGTAGACGACGAGACAAGAGACCAAGACGAACGAAACGACTACATTGAAGAGTGAGGAAAGAGATATTTTTTGGCCGACCACTTGAGTGAGCGCACTAATACAGCACGGCAGGGGCAAAGATGGAAGTCGTAAACGATGACAGGGCAAACTGATGACCATGCATTCATTGTGTGTTTCTGCTTTGACCCAAGGGTCCTTCGTTTTGACCCAAGGGTCCTGCATTTTGACCCACGGGTCCTGCGTTTTGACCCACGGGTCCTGCGTTTTGACCCACGGGTCCTGCATGCCACCTTGAGAAGAATTCCATTTACACAGAACAACAAAGGCAATCAAGGCTAGTTAGTGGTTACTCTGAGTTTCATGATTTCGTAATCATGAGGCAACATGAGGATGGTACCGGCCATGCCGGTATATATGCCACGAGAGCTATAAGAGAATTTCAATTTCAAAGAATACAAGCGGAGAGGCATGCATGCTCACATTCCTGGCCACTATCGGCATCACCATCGTCTTTCAGCAATGTGCTTGCATTGTGCTGTGTGGGGCAGGGCGTAGTGCCCAGCGCTACTCGATCATAGATGGTTGAGTCGTCATCGGGCTGCAGGCCAGCAACTGTAAGTCCTGCAAACCCTAGAGCATTGCGGGCAGAACAAAGCGCACAGGACATACAGACATAGAAACACGAATGAACACTATCTTACCAGTAACCACTTGTACACGGCACACAAGCACCAGCCTGCTCATTCTCTCAAAGCACTGAAACTAATCGTGCTGTATTGTTTTTAAAAGACTTTAAGAATGACAGCCACTACATTGTAGTTAACTACGGGTACATACTGTGTAAACTACTCTCAACACTAGCAACTTGTCGCCTGACAGCCCATGGAGGAGAGGACGAGGAGAAGGAGAGATTGTCCCAGTCTCAACGCTAGCAACTTGTCGCCTGACAGCCCATGGAGGAGAGGACGAGGAGGAGGAGAGATTGTTGCAGTCTCAACGCTAGCAACTTGTCGCCTGGCAGCCCATGGGGGAGAGGACGAGGAGAAGGAGAGATTGTCCCAGTCTCAACACTAGCAACTTGTCGCCTGACAGCCCATGGAGGAGAGGACGAGGAGAAGGAGAGATTGTCCCAGTCTCAACGCTAGCAACTTGTCGCCTGACAGCCCATGGAGGAGAGGACGAGGAGGAGGAGAGATTGTTGCAGTCTCAACGCTAGCAACTTGTCGCCTGACAGCCCATGGAGGAGAGGACAAGGAGGAGGAGAGATTGTCCCAGTCTCAACGCTAGCAACTTGTCGCCTGACAGCCCATGGAGGAGAGGACGAGGAGAAGGAGAGATTGTCCCAGTCTCAACGCTAGCAACTTGTCGCCTGACAGCCCATGGAGGAGAGGACGAGGAGGAGGAGAGATTGTTGCAGTCTCAGGGCTAGCAACTTGTCGCCTGACAGCCCATGGAGGAGAGGACGAGGAGAAGGAGAGATTGTCCCAGTCTCAACGCTAGCAACTTGTCGCCTGACAGCCCATGGAGGAGAGGACGAGGAGAAGGAGAGATTGTCCCAGTCTCAACGCTAGCAACTTGTCGCCTGACAGCCCATGGAGGAGAGGACGAGGAGGAGGAGAGATTGTTGCAGTCTCAACGCTAGCAACTTGTCGCCTGACAGCCCATGGAGGAGAGGACGAGGAGAAGGAGAGATTGTCCCAGTCTCAACGCTAGCAACTTGTCACCTGACAGCCCATGGAGGAGAGGACGAGGAGGAGAGATTGTTGCAGTCTCAGCGCTAGCAACTTGTCGCCTGACAGCCCATGGAGGAGAGGACGAGGAGAAGGAGAGATTGTCCCAGTCTCAACGCTAGCAACTTGTCGCCTGACAGCCCATGGAGGAGAGGACGAGGAGAAGGAGAGATTGTCCCAGTCTCAACGCTAGCAACTTGTCGCCTGACAGCCCATGGAGGAGAGGACGAGGAGGAGGAGAGATTGTTGCAGTCTCAACGCTAGCAACTTGTCGCCTGGCAGCCCATGGAGGAGAGGACGAGGAGAAGGAGAGATTGTCCCAGTCTCAACGCTAGCAACTTGTCGCCTGACAGCCCATGGAGGAGAGGACGAGGAGAAGGAGAGATTGTCCCAGTCTCAACGCTAGCAACTTGTCGCCTGACAGCCCATGGAGGAGAGGACGAGGAGAAGGAGAGATTGTCCCAGTCTCAACGCTAGCAACTTGTCGCCTGACAGCCCATGGAGGAGAGGACGAGGAGAAGGAGAGATTGTCCCAGTCTCAACGCTAGCAACTTGTCGCCTGACAGCCCATGGAGGAGAGGACGAGGAGGAGGAGAGATTGTTGCAGTCTCAACGCTAGCAACTTGTCGCCTGGCAGCCCATGGAGGAGAGGACGAGGAGAAGGAGAGATTGTCCCAGTCTCAACACTAGCAACTTGTCGCCTGACAGCCCATGGAGGAGAGGACGAGGAGAAGGAGAGATTGTCCCAGTCTCAACGCTAGCAACTTGTCGCCTGACAGCCCATGGAGGAGAGGACGAGGAGAAGGAGAGATTGTCCCAGTCTCAACGCTAGCAACTTGTCGCCTGACAGCCCATGGAGGAGAGGACGAGGAGAAGGAGAGATTGTCCCAGTCTCAACGCTAGCAACTTGTCGCCTGACAGCCCATGGAGGAGAGGACGAGGAGGAGGAGAGATTGTTGCAGTCTCAACGCTAGCAACTTGTCGCCTGGCAGCCCATGGAGGAGAGGACGAGGAGAAGGAGAGATTGTCCCAGTCTCAACGCTAGCAACTTGTCGCCTGACAGCCCATGGAGGAGAGGACGAGGAGAAGGAGAGATTGTCCCAGTCTCAACGCTAGCAACTTGTCGCCTGACAGCCCATGGAGGAGAGGACGAGGAGGAGGAGAGATTGTTGCCGTCTCAACGCTAGCAACTTGTCGCCTGGCAGCCCATGGAGGAGAGGACGAGGAGAAGGAGAGATTGTCCCAGTCTCAACGCTAGCAACTTGTCGCCTGACAGCCCATGGAGGAGAGGACGAGGAGAAGGAGAGATTGTCCCAGTCTCAACGCTAGCAACTTGTCGCCTGACAGCCCATGGAGGAGAGGACGAGGAGGAGGAGAGATTGTTGCAGTCTCAACGCTAGCAACTTGTCGCCTGGCAGCCCATGGAGGAGAGGACGAGGAGAAGGAGAGATTGTCCCAGTCTCAACACTAGCAACTTGTCGCCTGACAGCCCATGGAGGAGAGGACGAGGAGAAGGAGAGATTGTCCCAGTCTCAACGCTAGCAACTTGTCGCCTGACAGCCCATGGAGGAGAGGACGAGGAGGAGGAGAGATTGTTGCAGTCTCAACGCTAGCAACTTGTCGCCTGACAGCCCATGGAGGAGAGGACGAGGAGGAGGAGAGATTGTCCCAGTCTCAACGCTAGCAACTTGTCGCCTGACAGCCCATGGAGGAGAGGACGAGGAGAAGGAGAGATTGTCCCAGTCTCAACGCTAGCAACTTGTCGCCTGACAGCCCATGGAGGAGAGGACGAGGAGGAGGAGAGATTGTTGCAGTCTCAGCGCTAGCAACTTGTCGCCTGACAGCCCATGGAGGAGAGGACGAGGAGAAGGAGAGATTGTCCCAGTCTCAACGCTAGCAACTTGTCGCCTGACAGCCCATGGAGGAGAGGACGAGGAGAACGAGAGATTGTCCCAGTCTCAACGCTAGCAACTTGTCGCCTGACAGCCCATGGAGGAGAGGACGAGGAGGAGGAGAGATTGTTGCAGTCTCAACGCTAGCAACTTGTCGCCTGACAGCCCATGGAGGAGAGGACGAGGAGAAGGAGAGATTGTCCCAGTCTCAACGCTAGCAACTTGTCGCCTGACAGCCCATGGAGGAGAGGACGAGGAGAACGAGAGATTGTCCCAGTCTCAACGCTAGCAACTTGTCGCCTGACAGCCCATGGAGGAGAGGACGAGGAGGAGGAGAGATTGTTGCAGTCTCAACGCTAGCAACTTGTCGCCTGGCAGCCCATGGAGGAGAGGACGAGGAGAAGGAGAGATTGTCCCAGTCTCAACGCTAGCAACTTGTCGCCTGACAGCCCATGGAGGAGAGGACGAGGAGAAGGAGAGATTGTCGCAGTCTCAACGCTAGCAACTTGTCGTCTGACAGCCCATGGAGGAGAGGACGAGGAGAAGGAGAGATTGTTCCAGTCTCAACGCTAGCAACTTGTCGCCTGGCAGCCCAAGGAGGAGAGGACGAGGAGGAGGAGAGATTGTTGCAGTCTGAATGCTCACATAAAGTCTCTGCGCTGCTGCATTATTTTCTCTCTGCATATTTACCCATGTCCAGGCATGGCCCAACCTGAACACACCGTGATATGTGATATGATAAAACTAAAGACGAGAAACAAGATAGTGGTGTAAACATGCTGTGAGGTGCACTGGAAAAGTGTAAGATGGGAAAATAATGTGTATGATTCGGGTGTGTGTGTGTGCGCCTGTATGTGACTGTGTGGAGGTAGGAGCGGTGGTAATATAGTTAGGTGCTGGTACAAAAGGGAGGGAAAGAAGTGGAGAACTCTGTCGGTGTGCAAAATTGGAGAAAATGCCGTGTAGCTGGATGCATATATGTGAAGCCTAGTGTGAATACGAAATGTGCTAAGTATGGTACAACCATGTAGCACTCACACACACCCATGCACACACACACACACACACACACACACACACACACACACACACACACACACACACACACCCATGCACACACACACACACGCACGCACACATACACACACACACGCACACACACACACAAACCAGTAACCGCATGCTCGCGTGCACACGCATACATGAACACACGCGCACGCACACGAACAAACACATACACACACACACACACACACACACGCACGCACACACATGGCAGCATGCCTACATACCTCGTGGAGCAACGGTAAGGATAACGATGTCAGTTTCACTGTCTGATTCGTAGTTACTCTCATCCACCAGCGTCATAGTGCAAGAGTAGATACCGGAGTCTTCAGCAAGAGCACGGGAAATCTGTAAATCACCTGCATGTAGTCATAGGTAGACCCCAACAAACAACCAGAGGAAAGAAGATGAAGCAACAGCAGCAACAGCAACAGCAGCAGCAGCAGCAGCAGCAGCAGCAGCAGCAGCAGTAGCAGCAGCAGCAGTAGCAGCAGCAGCAGCAGCAACAGCAGTAGCAATGCCAGTCACAAGAAGTGCTCAGTTTTAGCCCTACCGTTTCTTTCTCTACTATATTCCCATGTCCAGGCTTTTAAGAATGAAATAAACAAACACTACCCCCCCCCCCCCCACACACACACACACGCACGCCTCAATTTCATCCATAGGTACACGGGTGAAATAACAGGATTTACAGTACGACTTTCTTCCACGTCTCACCCGCCCCCTATGTGTATTCGTAAGTCATCTACCATGGTTGGCATCTGGTAGCTATCTCCAAATCATCACTGACACTACATTGTAATCTCACACACTGGAAGACAGTGCAGTGTGCATACGCTGTGGGGATCCAACTGTTTAAAACAACTGCTCTTAGTGAACGTACTAATTGATGCTGTGTGGATTGAAGGTGCAGAGAAAGGATTCACGGCATCATCGTACCTACACCAGGATCCAATTGCATTTACTACCCCCCGCACACACAACTTATTAAATTGTGGCTGCGCAAGCTTTGTGGCTGGTTAGCTTAGGTTTCTTACTAATATACCAATAAGAAGATGAAAAAGTGTTTTTACTCCGAGTTTCATGCACTAAGCGATCATTAGAAAACAGTTCCTAACATAATATTGATCTTGCGGAACTATTTGACTTTGATGGATTTGAAAAGGTTAATGCGCTCCGACAACTAAGCAACTAAGAGTGGAGGACAACGCGCAAGCTGGGTTCGCTGCTGGGCGACGAAGAGGATATTATGCGACGAAAACAGCTGGCGACTGCAGCATTTCAGTCCCTATGGAGCCTCTGGAAGAGGCATCAGCACATCAGCGAGAAGTTGCGTCTGCGGCTGTACAACACTTTTATTACTCCAGCACTGACGTAAAACTCGGGTACGTGGGGGTCAGTGTGACCGTTCTGTCTCGCCTGGATTCCTTCCACCGCCGTCAGCTAAGGTCACTCATCGGTGTGAAATGGCCACAAATAATACCGAATGATGCTCTAAGCTGAATCCTTGAGTGTCATGGTGAAGAGATCACGCTGGAGGCTGTTTGGCCACAATCTGCGGATGGCAGATGAATCCCCAGCTAGTAGTGAGGTTCTGCCACACGGTATAACGTGCCAAAGTACGTATGGAAACTTCGCCGTGGTACGGGATTTAGTTTGATACGGATTTTTTCATACCGTTTTCCGTGTGAAGCGCGGTTCACACGGACCGGACTCCGTGTGAAAAGTGAGCGTACAGAGTACATGTGGCGGGGTGTTCGTGCATGGTTCGAGCATGCTACGTACAGCAGAACCGGTGCAACGTACGGAAAATCCGTGTCAAACTGCACTGCAGTTGACACGGAGTTTGGTACGTAGTTCCGTGTAGCAGAACCTCTCTATTATGGCTATGGTCGCGTACTTCGCCAATCAGCAGCAGCAATGCTGGAGGGGTAGACCGCGGACGACCCTGCCGCAGGCATTGGTGGGAGATCTGCGCCAAGCCAATGCTGGATTGCTCGGGAACCTAGACGCTCTGCAGAGACTGCGAGCCATTGCCCATGACCGACCCGCATGGCGAGATCTATGTATGAAGATCTGTGCATCGTGATATTCCGACAGATCCTGAAACACTCAAACTCAGGAAATAGCACTATTATTATCACTCAGGCTGCAATATTCAATGACATATAGACATATTCATAAATGACATATCTTCAATACCCATGAGCTACATTGTATATGATAATTATATCATTATATCATCGTTCTAGCTGAATTTCTTTCCCCTGTCATAGTCCTGTTTGTCATGTTCAGCATAAGCGAAGTTGTGGATCATGCTTGCATGGTTGACTCCAACGCGTACATGCAAGTAATAATAATAATGGCGCCATATTTAAAGCCAAACCTCTCCAATTTTCAATGTATGTGTAAAAAATAAAAAAAGTAAATTAGCGTGTCCGTTCCTGAATTGAACTCACGACGGCCGCTAACACCCGGTAAACCCTAGCGGCAGATTCAGCGCCTAACGGTGGGGGTGAGTGGATAAGTCTCACAACCACTGGCACAAGTGCCGAGAAACCCCATTCCGCAGCCACGTTAACCTTGTGCCTGGCCACAAGTTCCCAGTTGACTGTGGGTAGCAGGACGGCTGGAAAGGCCGCTCCCGGGCAGGACTTAAACCAGGTACCTGTCGTATCTCAATCATAGTCTTTGACCAACCCACTGTGGCCACTGTGCATGTCTGATGTATGATGTGTGCTAGTACGGTAATGTTGTGTACATCGTGAGTACGCGCTGTTGGTGCATGCGCATGTTGCTATGGTGTCAACAGCAGTCTTCGTCTTCAGTTCGCCATGTCTACCGCATTTTCCAGGTTATAGGTCGACCCCGGTCATAGGTCGACCCCGGTTATAGGTCGACCCCGGTTATAAGTCGACCTCGGTTATAGGTCGACCCGCCGTATCCGAAGGTCTTAATTCTGTTTTCAAAGTTTTACCCAACCAAGCACTGCTTACCACTTCTCGCTACAAACACATCAACAAATCACATTAACACTCCTCATCGGAGGGTGAACATGTCCAAATCCTGGACAAAAGGCAAATAAAGTGGCACCATGCGTACACGCGGCACACTCGTGCATGCAGTGCAGGTCATTTTGCAAGTTGCCGGTAGTTCCTGGTTATAAGTTGAATCCCGGTTGTTAAGCGGGATTCACAGAAGCTTTTTTGCGATGCGACACGCGATGCGACAGACGCGAAACCGGGAAAACCCCAAATCGCAGCCATGTCGCACTCCACGCAACTGCCGCAACTGGGCCATCGCAGGCCATCGCAGAAGTTGAGCTTGGCTCAACTTTTGCGATGCGATTTGGCGTACGATTTGGCGTACGATTTTGACCTTTTCTACAGCAAAGTTGTACAAAGGTTCAAGAGTTGCCTATAAATGTGTACAAGTTGTATCAAACCGCGCGAATATCATGGTGACGTAGCCAAATCAGCAAGATGTTGTCGCATCACTGACTTCTTCTGTGAATGGTATTTCGCGAGTTCGCATCGCACGCGTCCGTTGCAGATCGCGTCGCATCGCGTGTCGCATCGCAAAAAAGCTTCTGTGAATCCCGCTTAAGTCGACCCCGATTTTTAGTCGTAAAATGTCGACTTACAACCGGTAAACTACAGTAGTTGTGTGTGTGTCCGTTGTCCACTAAGTCTTGTAATAAATCACCTTCCCAAAGTATGTCTGCCATCGATTGTCCAAGTGTGGAGATTGCACAGGGCTGGGAGCAAGGAGAGTAAAATCCTCAGACAGCATAATACTCAACACTAACTTGTACTATGGAAGGTAGGGGACTAGCAATTACACGGTTGCACGCACCGAAATCCAACCTGAAGTGCAACGCTGGCGCCCTTTTTTTTTATCGAATCCCTGGATCAGTTTCGATTATATCACCATACTTGTACTTGTACATGTATACACGTCCAGCAGCATTCGTACCACTTCCAGGGTGACAAGGGCCGTGCAAGTCGAGGGCTCCAGATATGTACCTTGGGTCGGATTTCACCAAGCACAACACTTTCAAAAAGTATAACACGTACCGTTTGCCAGCACGGTGAAGCGACCTGATGCCTGCAGGTCCTCGATAAGGACACCCGCTCTTCTCCATGTCCTCTCCGTGTTCACGTCATCAGTGCCGGTGCCGGCATAGCAACCGATGTTGGAGAGTCTTTCCGGCACGGGCAGGATGACAGTGCTCCCCACGGTGGTACTGACAACAGCCCTGCTGTCTGCACTATCCACTGGAATGGAGACACTACGGCCACGGCTCACAGCCTTGGATTCAACGACGGGATTCAGATTGGACTGACCTGTGTGGAAATCATGCGTGAATGCAGACGCAATAGAATATATGCACACACACACACACACACACACACACACACACACACACACACACACACACGCACACACGCATGTACACACACGCACACGAACACACACACACACACACACACACGCATGTACACACACGCACACGAACACACACACACACACACACACACACATACACACACACATACACACACACACACATACATACACATACACACAAGTGCACATGAACAGGGACACACGCTGTCAAAGAAAGCATTCTGAAACACAGTCCATGCCCATAATGAGTTACCAGCATACATACGGTATTGTATTATAGAAAAGAAGAGGACCAAGGAACTATACAAGTTGCAAGTTATAGCATAACTTGTAGTTCCTTGGTCCTTTTCTTTTCTATAAATTCATCCTTCGCTCTCCATCTGCGTCCATTATTGAATCATAGCAGAGAGATTCAGGACATTCTTTCACACAACACCAACAGTTGCTTGGTCAGTAATCATTGCATTGTCCATCTGTCTTCTATGTCACTTTCAGTGTGAAGTATGATCCTACATAACAAGGACCAAATGTAGCATATTTTGCTACAAGGAGCATAGAATTCGCAAAATTACAGGGCAGATTGCGGAAATGGAGAAGGAAACTTACCACGGCACGCTCGGTCAGGGACGGACGGGGAGGATGGTCAGAAAGTAACGTGTGAAGTATGATCTCTTACATACCGAGGACGGGGAGGATGGTCAGATAATTACAGGTTAACACGCACGCTCGGTCAGGGACGGACGGGGAGGATGGTCAGAAAGTAACGTGTGAAGTATGATCTCTTACATACCGAGGACGGGGAGGATGGTCAGATAATTACAGGTTAAATCGCCTCCAATCTTGGCATTTGTGCAGAGCTGTTAATTTAACGCATTTGGAGTGCATGATGTCGCCCATGCCGGTTTGAGCATTTCATCGTTCTACATTAGGACTGAATGCTACGCGTAAGATGCGACGTGTTTACTTCGAGATTCGCCGTTTACAAAAGTCATTTTCAGACGTGATTAACCATAATAGTATAACGCCTGAAATATCATGTTCTGAAAGAAGGAGATCTGATGGCTACAATGTAGAGCTTGCTTGAAATTCCCGCTCTCCACAGAAAAGAATATAATGTGAAGAAGAGGTTGGTGCGACATCGGAGATACTTGGGAATTGCTGGGCAGGAAAAGCGCAAGCTCCCACGTAGGGAGCAACACACAATTTCCCAAGAATATAATGGTCGTGCAAAATCACCTACTTTTTTGAGCAGCGGCATCTGCGTCTGCTGTGTTCATTTCCAGGGTCATGGTGGAGGTGATACTGAAGCGAGACTCCATCACACCCTTATACGGTGTGACCAGTACGCTGCTTCCCATCCTGTAGCAATGGACAGGAAACCAGACGTGGTGTGAATAGCATGTACGCCACCATGCACCAGTCACACGCAATGTGTTTGGCATGTATGAGTGAGTATGACACCCCCCCCCCCCCCCACACACACACACATACACACACACACACACACACACACACACACACACACACACACACACACACACACACACACACACACACACACACACGCACGCACGAGTCACACAGATGTTATAACATACCGGTACGCAATAAACTCATAATACAGTCAAATCTGCCATTAGCGACCTTTGCTGTAGGCGACCATCTACCGTTAGCGACCGATTTTCCGTGCACCGACGGTTTCACATACAAATTGATCTGTCCAGAGCGACCATCTGCTGTGCGCGACCAGCGACCGCGATTTCATGCACGGTGGCTGCATTCAAATCTGCTGTAAGCGGCCGCGACCCACGTTCAGTCAGGTGCGAAACTGTACTTGCCAGTGTGCTGTCAACTCCAAGGTGTGAAAATGCGCTGTCTTGCAAGTGCGCCCCTTTATTCTATTGAATATCCAATAAAATGATATCAAAAATCACATTATTCTCGTCGATTTGAGTGCATGGAAGCATAATTTATGCATGCCCGGTATGCCGGATTTACCATACATCTGCCGTAAGAGACCACTTTTTCTTGCACCAAGGGACGGTCGCTTACGACAGATTTGACTGTACAAACACTTCATAGTCTCTGACTTTGTTGCCTTGAGCAAACAAAAAACATTTTTTTGATTGCTCCGAGGACCTGATCCATCAGTATTGGCAATTACTCAGTGAAGAAAATTATAGCATTGAAACAGTTAATGGGGTGCTACTAAAGTTATCAACTGACATGTGATCATTGTAAAAGAAGCTGTTTACATCGAAAAACATGATGATGAACAGATTTACAGATCAGGCTGATGTTTTAGCTAAACAATCCCCTGCTCAAATGAAGTCTCTTGG